AGAGAGAGAGAGAGAGAGAGAGAGAGAGANAGAGAGAGAGAGAGAGAGAGAGAGAGAGAGAGAGAGAGAGAGAGAGAGAGAGAGAGAGAGAGAGAGAGAGTGCAATTCGCCATGCTATGCCAATCTACCTATTCCGTTTTGGGGCCGAGTATGAGCCTTGCTCCACTACTCTCCACATGCACAAAAGACAAAAAATATGGCAGTGCATCTTACCATGTTATAGCGGAAGATTTATTCTTCTTATTTTCCACATTTGGTGAGTGGTGGAGCCAGGCATTATAAACAGAACTCTCCACGTCTTCGCGCACATTGCATGCACAGAGAGAGTGAGAGAGGGGGGGCGGGTAGAGACGAAGGTGGAGGAAGAAAAGAGGGTGCAGGGTCAAACGAGGCAACCTCTGTCCCCACGTGAGACAATTAACTCCAAGAATATCAAGAGTCGGGCCCAGAGTGGGAACATGTTGTCAGCAGTCAACCACGGCCACAGATCTGGTGCGCAATCCAAGGTTGTGTGCATTTGTTTCAGGAGATTCCAGGGCATACTGGGCCCAGGCACAATCAAAGGCTGTCTGCATTTGTTCCAGAAGATTCCGGGTCCTCCTGGGTCCAGGCACATTGAGGCTGACGGCAAATCTGGACCCCCAAGATTGAGAAATCTCCACCATTGGAGGAGGCAGGCTGAGGCAGGCCTTGGCCGGTCAACGCTACGACAGGGCAGCCAGTCCCAGCAGCTCATTCATTCCACCTTGCACAAGCTGGTGGCCAGAGAACTGTTGGTGAGGTAGAAAGGAGAGGGGAGGCTGGTACCAGAGAGGGAAAGTCGGTCGCAAGCCAGGAACGGGAGAGAGGGTGGTAGCCATAGCTAGGAAAGGTACCTAGCGCCAGAAAGAGGGTGATCAGGTCTGTGAAGAGAGAGAGAGAGAGAGAGAGAGAGAGAGAGAGAGAGAGAGAGAGAGAGAGAGAGAGAGAGAGAGAGTGGGACACTCACCTTGACTTACCTGTGGGCTGTTGATACTGGAGCTGCTGGTCACATCAGGAGGCTGAAGGAATCAGGCGCCAGCCTCCATAGCCAGGATTGATACCTTTGGAGAGACTTCACCCGTCGTCATGGAGAGACTTGCATGCTGAGGTGGCAAGTTGGTCGGAGAAGGTCCCGGAAGTGAAGAGACATGTCAATTGCATTAATGAAACCCACTGAGTCTTCTGGGATTACATTGAGTGCCTCTGGACTGACTCAAGAGCCATGTTAATTGTATTAATGAAGAGCCCACTGCGTATTCTGGGATTACATTAAATGCCTCTAGACTGATTCAGCATATGTGTGGTTCCGTTTTGAGTGTGTTACAGCTACTTAGCACCTGTGAAAACTTCTCATGATTGATTGGCTCATTGCACTCTTGCTGCATATTTTTTCTTTTGGGGTAAAAAGGCTCTGAAGTTCTTTTTGTGGGACTGACAATGCCGCAAATTCATGCATGGACACACTACCTTCTTCCCCCAAACAGACCTGATCATGACTGTGTCTAGTCAGGAATGCGGCTCATACACATTCGCGGCGATTGGTGGTTGTGTTTGGGGGAAGAAGGTAGGCTATCAAAAGTATCCCTCAATTTTAGTAGGATCTGTCTGAGTTTCCAAAGTTCACTCTGGGAAGACCATGTGCATGGGATCAGGAAGGGCAAACACAACTTGCATGGTCCAGTCCTTCGCCTAGTAGAACAAAATCACTATATGACCTCAATTTGAGATATCGGTTTTATGTTTTTCCAGCCAGACACGATTGCACATAATATGTGACTGCACAGTTGGAATGATAATCACCTAGCTCTTTTTCCAGCCTGCAGAATTTCAGACGTGACAGGTGCAAATGGTCTTTTTGAACTTTTTCAGCTTTTGACAATTGAAACGGGACAAACCGCTAAGATCAATACAAAGGATTGAATTCTTCGTCTGTTATTCAACAACTCTATGTCTATGCCTCAGCCACCATTTGTAAGGGGCAGATGGCTTACAATTCATCTTACTGATCTTCTTTGATTTTTGGAATGCCGTATGGGTGCAGAGATTTTTTTTTGAAGCGTTTCAGGATCCAACTCTTGTTATTTTGACAGTCTGTGCAGTTGTATCCGTTGTTGTGGGCATCATTGCCAAGGTGCGTGCTTCACTTCTTTCAGAGTTGCTTACCCCAGCTGTTGGAGGACTTGATGGTGAATACCTGCAATGGGGGATTTGTGGACAAAATGAGAGTGGGTTTGTTGCTCTCACAGACCTCTTCTTTTCAGCAAGTGCAATTGTCCTTAACAATCATTGCCATCCGAAAGGCTCGGATGATGCAACATGTAAACCAATGAAAGAGCTATAGTGATGCAAGCAGTTAACAATCAATGTGTGCCAAGCCTCAATGAAAGGTCAGCGTGCGTCCACAAGTGTCTCAATCAATGTGCCCCAATAGAAGGCCGTCAACAATGGCACAACACATGATCACCCATCTGCATTTGGGTCAGTAGATCTCTTCTGTGAGCAAGAGGATAAGGAAAGTAAAGCTAATCCTAGTCATTGACTCCATTCCATTAATTCTTTTTCTTATTGTTCCTCATTTCTCTTGCATACCTTTTTTTTTTTCTTTTTTTTTGGGTCATGCTCAAATTCTGAATTATTTAAAACCTCTTCAGTTCATATAAACAAACTTTTAACAACGGCGGTGAAACGGTATTCACCAGTTCGTAGTAGCTGATGCAGATCCCAGGGCTCGATCCCTAGTCCCCACCTTACCTGTGTACGGCACCTGTGTCAACCCGAAGTGTTGAACCTGCGACCTGTAGGACTGCCAGTGGTAGGCTGGTTATCGTAGGTTACAGGGTATAGTGGATTCGAACTGTAGACCTGTCGGGTAGGAGTCTAGAGAGTCCAGAGGTCGTAGCTGTAGACTTTCCGAAGGGTCAAAGTCGTAGCTGCTACTTACCTGAAAGGGCCAAAGTCGTAGCTGCTACAGGACCGAAAGGCCAAGTAGGTGCTTCTAGAAGTGGCCTTTCGGAGTCAGCCCACTATAGGTCAAGGCAAGTGGGCAAGTGGTGGAAGTCCCAGTCCAGTCAGTCCGGTCCAGTCCAGCAAGTACCGCCTGGGACTGTATGCACCGTGGGCCAGGGAAACAGGGCAGGCCGACGAGCCACAGAAGTATAAATCCAGAGGCCGCGCACAGCCATTCATTCATTCCTTCGGAAGCCATGCGGAAGCGCTGCCTCAGCGGCTTGTGCAAGGAGGTCTGCAGCAGCCCGAAGTCGAAGTGGGCCAGGAGCGTAGCATAGCGATAGGGTAGAGGCAGCCATAGCTGCCATAGCTGTAGTAAGAGTGAAGTGTGTGTGTGTATGTGCGAGTGTTCAGAGTGACGCGTGTGGGATATCCAGGGTGATCCGTTGTGTGTGAACAGTGAGTTGTTGGGCGCTGAGTCGCCATAGCCAGAGGAAGTGAACTCTTATCTGGATACCATATCTCTGAGTTCTGTGTGGGCGCATGTCGCCAGTTTTCTGCTCTGCTGTTTACATGCATGAAAAGTGTGAATGAGACGAGTCTGATTGCATTGGTATCGGAGCTGGTACCCGCTATTCCATGCGCGCCGTCGTGTGCAGGCCTTGAGGCGCCGTAGCGGAGGTGGCCGCCGAGGGACACAGTCCGCCATAGTGGACCTGAGGTTGGAGAAGCCGCCGCACACCTACAAGAAGGCCACGACGAAGAAGAAGACTGAGAGAGAGAGAGAGAGAGAGAGAGAGAGAGAGAGAGAGAGAGAGAGAGAGAGAGAGAGAGAGAGAGATGAGCGATACAAGATTGGGTTACAACCTGCTGCGCTGAAGATACCGCTACAGCGAGAGAGAGAGAGAGAGAGGGAGAGATGAGCGATACAAGTTTGGTTGTCACTTACCTGTGAAACGTGCCGTGCAGTCCCACGAAGGAGGAAGAAGGCGGCCATAGCCGCGGAGCGTCATCACGGAGTAACGAAGGAGAAAGAGGACGGAGGAGGGACCGAGGAGAGAGAAAGAGGAAGTAGAGAAGGAGGAAGAAGGAGACATCGAGGTGGAAGACAGACATAGCTGAGGGTGAAAAAAAAAAAAAAAAAAAAAAAAAAGAAAGGAAGAAGGTGAAGGAAAGGGGAGAAGGAGATAAGGGTGGCGAAGAGGAAGGTGCCGACAGCCATAGCCGAGGTGGAGAGTTGACCGGAGGGTTGATCGGAGGGTTGACCGGGCGTTGACCGGAAGGTTGACCGGGGTGTTGATCGGGGTCTTACCGCGTTGACCAAGCGTTGACCGAAGAGTTGACCGGCGCGGTTGACCAAGACTTTGACCAAGCTGGAGTTGGTAATATCTCGCCAAGCCCTAGCCTGCCCCCTCACCCTGTGGATGTGCACTCACCCTGCGGTACTTGCTGAGTCCGAGTCTGTTTGTCTCGTCTTTCTGCATCGAGTCTCTTCTGTCCTAAGTGGTAGTACTCTGTGGATGAAGGATAGGGCCTGGATGACGAAACCCCCACTTGACCTTGTAGAGCTAATAACGTGTCTAATCTCACTGTCCCGGGGGGCCTAACCCTCCCAAGGACCGGTGCTGACCGGCGGGACGCGGATTGGGCGTGGCACGGTGGGCTTGAACGGCGGAGTTGCGGGCTGACACACCAGGCAGTCTTAAGTATTGAGGGCCTTGTTGACCCAAACACCTACCGGATCTAGTAAGGCTAAAGGCCGTGTCTGACGACTCGACTGTCCCGGGGGACATGAACCCCCCCAAGGACCGGTATAGACCGGCGGGCTGCTCGGTGTGGCACGGTAGGCCCGAAAGGCTGAGTTGTGGGCTGTTGCAACAGGCAGAACCAAGCTGATCACGTCGTTCTGACTACGACGTTAAAAAATTCCTGAGGAGTTACGGGGGATCTCCTTAAATGCCTCCTGATCAGCCATTGGTTCAGTAGTGACAGCGATAGTGTAAGTCGACCATAGCTGCCAGGGTTCTATACGAGCCCTGTGGTCCTTAGAGAGTCAGTTTGTCAGTGGTTTGGGTAGGTCTACGTGGTGAGGAGTGGGACATTGCCGTGCACCTGAACACCATGGACGACTACCCCATGTACGGTTTGCTTGTGGGGTTCTCCCTTTGGGGGACCCTTTGGCGTTTCATTTTCCCATTGGGATTCTGGAACACATTTTCGTGTAGGGTAGAGACCAAGGGTGATACGACCACCCACCCCTGCACACCTGAAGAAGAGGCCAAGGCCGCCGCGATCCTGAAGGAGAGGAGAGAGAAGAAGGAGGCCAAGAAGAAGGCCTTGTTGGAGGCGCAGGCGGCAAAGTTGAAGACGATAGAGGAGGAGAGGCTGAAGAAAGAAGAAGAAGCGAAGTTAAAGGAAGTTGAAGAGGAAGAAGAAGAAGTAGAAGAGGAGCCACTGGAGAGGGGAAGGAGAGGTAACAGAGGGGAGTCCAGTGAGACCAAGGAAGACTTGATGGAGAAGAAGATTACGGAGTGGGTCGCAGGACTAACCCTGGGAGAGGATGAGGAGGCGTTGATGTATGTGCCCAGGGATGAGCAGGCGGCGGCCGTGCAAGAGTGGGAAGCATAGGAAGACCCACTCAAGCGGCAAGTGTTGGAGGATGAAAGAGGAAATGAAGGAGAGCCCCCCAGATAGCAGACAGGGCCAAGAAGCCAAACATCGGGTAGTCGTTCATGTCGAGGGTCAGCACAAGTAAATTGACACCGCCTCCTCACCACTTAGACCTACACCTCAACACTTACACAAATCTCAATCTAAATGCAATCAGACTCGCTTTCTTTTCCACTTCGCATACATGCAAACAAATGGGGATTCACACTGGCGCAGCGCGCCCACTCAAAGCTCAGAGATATGGAAAACGAGAACACAGTTCATATGCAAAATCGCTTCTTCAAACTATGGCGCTACGGTGCTTGCACACCCAACTCTCGTCACTGTGTCCAACACCACCGTTCGCACATACTCAACTTTGGATCACCCTGAATACTCCACGCACTTCCCTCTCATACACACACACAGTAAAGCCTATCTTCCTCCTACAGCGACTATGGCCGCTCTACTACTACTGATTATGACTACGTTGTCTCTCTTCAGCCCACTTCGACTTCGGGCGACCTGCAGACCACATCGCACAAGACGCTGTAGCAGCGCTTCCACATGGCTTACGCAGCGAATGAATGAATTGTTGGGCGCTGCTTTTTTATTTATACCTTCGTTTGCTGCTGGTCTGCCCCTTTCCACCAGGCCCTTGGTGTGCACAGTCCCACACAGTACTTGCTTGACCGGACTGAGGGTGACTGGGACTGGTACCACTGACTGCATGAGGTTGCGTTGCCGACTCAACGTAGTTGGACCTGCGACTCACCTACATACCTCTAGCCTAGCAGTTTCGACCTCTACACAACTATGACCCCCACTCGACAGACCTACAGATCGAACCTCTACAACTACACAGACCTACGACAGACATCAACCAACTACCGAAACACAGGTCGCGGGTTCAATGGTAAGGTCTAGGGATCGAACTGTAGGGCCCGCATCTGTGATTGCAAAAACGTGAAAACCGTTTCACTCCCGCCGGCCTAAATTCGAGGTCCTCCAAGAATACTTCAGTCTAAGGCAGGACCTTTACCTTTCTTGTCTCTTTTGTAAGCTCGGACTATGTCGGGAGCTGTCTCTAGAAGTTATGTTCACGTGAACCAGCGGTCGTCTTCCGGCTCTTGAAAGGAAAATCTGACTTTGTACTCTTTCTGTGGACGACGTCTACCTCGTGTCCTGAAGACATCCTCACCTACTATACCATCAATGTTGTATCTTTCGTCCATATCCGGAGGGATCATGGATCTTCGTGATGGAAGTTGTTGAGTTGTGACACAAGGCAACAACTTTGACGCATGGAATACTGGGTAGGTGTGGAGGTGTGTTGGAATCTCAATAGTATAGGACGGTTCATCCTCTTCGCCCTTGGCTTCTAAGACTGGCCACGGTCCTCTATACGCAGGCAGTAACTTCTGTGAGATGTTCTCCTCATGAGCGAACTCTTTTGACTTGACGGAGACTAAGTCGCCTACTTGAAACTGTGAGGGGCGACGGTGCTTGTTAGCTTGCTCTATCATTATGTGGTGGGCTTTCCTGAGGTTATTTACAATGGTAGCTAACTCTTTCTTGTGCTGTATCGCAAACTCTTGTGTGCCGGGCGGTAGCCTCTGAATCTGATCCCGGTTAAGTCCCTCAAATGGTATGCGCGGTCTAAAGGACTTGTGCAGTTCGTTGGGAGTGCAACATGTGGCTAAGTGCACGTTGTTATTGTATGCACTAGCTACCTTTGGAAACATCTCATCCCAATTGATCTGGTCGGGCATAATGTACATTCTAAGAATTTGTTGCAGGAGTTTGTTCATCTATGACCGTTGTAGGGCCAAACCCCGGTAGACTTTCGAGCCTTAGTCGACCCCACTGCGGGTCCATTTGGCTCGGCCCGCCCACGCTCATCTCAGGGCGCTGGCCATTCGTCCCAGGGTCACCCCCACCTAGTGCTTTGAGATGGATGGGGGTGGGCCGTCGCGTGAGAGAGCTTTGACATTGGGGATGTAGCTCAGCCCTCACGCCGGGTGGTAGTCTCGCTGGTCATTCCGCAACGCTGACTTTTTTTTATATTCTTGGTTGTGTTCTCAGGCAATTGCTCTTTCCAATACGCAGGCAGTCCAAGATTTCTTTGAGAGTTTCTCTTCTCTTGTGCGCAAGCTAAGCGTCATCCTTGGGCCGCGCACCATTTCCCTAAGCATAGTGATCCTACGGCGTCATCAGGGTGCGGCGATGTCGTCCTTCCCCTCGCCTCTACACACCCGTCGGGTCTCATACATCTCATTCAATCCCATTGACGCAGGCCCCTTAGTCTTTTCGGGGCCTTCACATGCATGCACACACAACTTCACATTTCCTCTGCCAAGATCGCACTCCATTTTCTCATTCACACTCCAAGTTTCAAACGCGAAGGCCATTTCCATAGATTGGCTTTAAGCTAAGGGTCTCAGAGCCCCTTTGCCCTTCTTCCCTTTTCCCTTTGCCGCCCGGTTCCTCCCGGCCCTACTCCGCTCAAGGCATTCCTAGCCTCCACTCACCTGCACAGTCCCACACAAGTGAAGATCCATACAATTCCCCATTGAGGTCAACACATAGCCCTTCCCACATGCCTATCTTTCCACGTTCTTTGGCCACTCTTTGTTCCTTCTCTTTTGCTCAATCAGCCCACACTCTTCTCATAGTCATGCAATCGAGGAAATTGTTGAGTCAAACTGACCTTGCTTCCAATTATACTTTCTCCTGGATTCCGCCTCTTTTAAAACCTTTTCCAAACTTCCTTTCCTATGCCTTCTTGGTGGCACAAGGGACCGGCTACCCTTCCCTTGCCCTCTTTCTCCACCAAGTGAGGTCTGATCTCTTTTTACCGTTCGCACCCTGGCAATGTAGCAAGTGAGAGGAGAAGGGTTAGTCATATGCCAAGTGAGGGAAAGAGAGAGAGAGGGCAAGGCGAAGAGAGAGAGAGAGAGGAGTGGGAGAGGAAGAGAGAGAGAGAGAGAGAGAGAGAGAGAGAGAGAGAGAGAGAGAGATGATTTCTAATCCTAATCAAATCATCACCCCGTAGTAGCAGCCAAATGCCGGTCACCCATCCCATAGCGAAAGATTAACTACGCATGAACCGGAGCACCTTGATCATACATGAACTTAACAATAAGAAGGTTGAGCTTGTGAAAAGTATGTGCACATAAAAAAAATCAACTAAGTACGGACCGGAACATCACAACACACATGAACTTGACAATGAGGAGCTAGAACTAGTGAAAGGCACTTGCACATGGAGGAGAGATCAACTAAGTATGAATCAAACCATCACAACCTTCATGAACTTGACAATGAGAAGCTTGAACTAGTGAAGGCCACATGCACATGGAGGAAAGATCAACTAAGTATGAGCCGGAGCATCACAACACACATGCACTTGACAATGAGAAGCTAGAACTAGTGAAAAGCACATGCACATAGAGGAGAGATCACTTAAGTATGAACCGGAACATCACAACACACATGAACTTGATAATGAGAAATAGAATTAGTGAAAGGCACATGCACATGGAGGAGGGATCAACTAAATATGAACCGGAACATTACAACACACATGAACTTGACAATGAGGGGATTGAACTAGTGAAAAGGCACATGCACATGGAGGAGAGATCAACTCAGTGTGAACCGGAACATCACAACACATGTGAACTTGACAACGAGGTGCTAGAGCTAGTGAAAAGCACATGCACATAGAGGAGAGATGAACTAAGTACGAACCGGAACATCACAAAACACACATGAACTTGACAATGAGAAGAACTAGTGTGACACACATGCACATAGAGGAGAGATGAACTAAGTGTGAACTGGAACATCACAACACATGTGAAATTGACAATGAGGAGCTAGAGCTAGTGAAAAGCACATGCACATAAAGGAGAGCACAAGCACAAAACACACATGAACTTGACAATGAGATAAGCAACTAAGTATGAACCGGAACATCACAACACTCACGAAGTTGACAATGAGAAGATTGAACCAGTGGAAAACACGTGCACATGGAGGAAAGAGCAACTAAGTATGAAACAGGCACACTACAACACTCACGATCTTGACAATGGTAAGATTGAACTAGTGAGGGGCACATGCACATGGAGGAAAGATCGACTAAGTATGAAACAGACACACTACAACACTCACGACCTTGACAATGAGAAGATTGAACTAGTGAGGGGCACATGCACATAGAGGAAAGAAACAACTAAGTATGAACCGGAACACTACAATGCACATGGCCTTGACAATGAGAAGATTGAACTAGTGAAAAGCACATGCACATAGAGGAAGGAGCAACTAAGTATGAACCGGAACATCACAACACTCACGAACTTGACAATGGGAAGATTGAACCAATGAAAAGCACATGCACCGGCAGGAAAGCTCCACTAAGTATGAACCGGAACACTACAACACTCACGATCTTGATAATGGGAAGATTGAACAAATCAAGAGCACATGAACAAGGAGAAAAAATCAACTAAGCACGAACCGGGGCACTACAACACTCAGGAACTTGACAATGAGAAGATCGAACCAGTGAAAGGCACATGCACATGTAGGAGAGATCAACTAAATATGAACCGGAACATTACTTGACAATGAGGAGATTGAACTAGTGAAAAGGCACATGCACATGGAGAAAAAATCAACTAAGTGTGAACCGGAACATCACAAAACATGTGAACCTGACAATGAGAAGCTAGAGCTAGTGAAAAGCACATGCACATAGAGAAGAGATCAACTAAGTATGAACCGGAACATCATAAAACACACATGAACTTGACAATGAGAAGTTGAAACTAGTGAAAGGCACATGCACATAGAGGAGAGATCAACCACGTATGAATCAGAACATTACAACACACATGAACTAGACAATGGGAAGCTAGAACTGGTGAAAAACGCATGCACATGAAGGAAAGATCAA